GTCCTGGCGGTGCGGAGCCGGGGTCCTGAACGTTCAGAGCCGAGGCCGCTGGAACGGGAGCGGGGCGATGTTCCCGCCTGCGCCTCGGCGCTGGGACGCGGCGAGAAAGGGGGACGCTGAGGTTTGGGTTCCCGGGAGCTTGTTTGTAACCTCAGCTGCTGAACGGATTTCGTTTTGCGAGGTTTTAACTCTCCAAAAATCTGCTTTTCTTCTTGTGAGCTGCTTTTGGGATGCTGGTGGTTTTTTTTCTTCTCTTAAAAAAAGACTTTTGCTTACTCGGGCTGTGTGATGCAGGTGCTGTGGTGGAGGATATCCTCCTGCCTTGTGACACAGCAGCGGAGTAAGAAAACAAGTATTAATTCTTTAACTAAAGGAGTCGGTTTGGAAATAGTCTTAAATACAGTTCTGAAACAGATAAAAGTTATTTTGGTAGATGCAATAGAGATGTTATTTACAGCGTAGGAAAACTACGGGGGGAACCCATTTTCTTACTCCTCACTATCCTAACTGTGACTAATTACTCTTTGCTTAAAAAAATTAAAAGGAATAGATTAAATTTCTGTCTGCAAGGCACAAATTAATCCATTTACAGAATTAGCGCTCCATTAGCACACAGGAGCCCAGCTCTGTCTCAGAGGGGATGGCAGCATCTGAGTTTTGGATTCAATCCAGCAGACTTTTAGACAGGCTGGTGCTGACTTAACATCGCTGCTTGGTTTGCAGGGGGGGCACTGTATTGAAGGCAAGCTGGGTGGATTTTTGGGGTGCAGGAAGGGAAGACCTTGATCTGTCTTGAGTGTAAAGAGTGCATTAGAGTGGAATTACTGCAAGCTGTTGCTTGTGCTTTGTTGCAAGCTTGTGGTTGCAGTTTGATTATAAATACTCCTGTAGGTTAGTTGTTTTTTTTAAAAAAATAAATCTGTCTAGCTACTTTTTCTTCTTTTTTCCTGACTTTTCTACGGGAGAGCTATCAGTCTTGACCACTGTCTGTACTGGTCTGTGTGTAGGCAGCCTGTCCTTCTGATGATACCTTTGGGTGCAGGCAGACAGACCAGGTTCTGCTGCTTGGATGTGAGTCAACTCCAATTTGGAAGCAATCTCTTCGTGGTGGTGCCGTGCCTGAGCTCAGAAGCCTGGGGCTAATCAGCCTTGCCGAATGGCTCAGCTTATTTGTTTGGGCAGCGCGTTGCTCCAAAACGGTTGTGTGGCTCCTGGATCCGAGCTGGTCCACATCTGGCCAGCTTGGGGTCTGTCTGCATGTGGCCGTGGAGATGCGCTCTCAGAGTTCCTTTTTCTGTTTGTCTTTGGTGCCCCTTTGGAGATAGATGCGATTTAAATCGCACGAAAGCAAACAGGCTCCTCACAGATCCCCAGCGGGGAGTGGAGCCGCTGCTCCTGGTGCAGAGGGAGGGGGAAAAGAGCTTTTTGTGCAGGAGAATTGTGGGCAAGGCGGGAGGGAGCAGGGAAGTTGGCTGCAGCTCCTAGCTGAAGTAACATTAGACCCAGTGCGAGGTTCCAATGTTTATAAACTGCTGTTGTTTTGCTGAAAAGACCTCATGGGAACGTTGCCCGTGTTTGTGCTGTCAGGACGCTCACCTAGTGTAAAATGCATTTTACCTGAAAAAATTCCACACAGCTGTATTACAGGATGGTTTTCCTGCTTGTCTGTCCTTCCAATAAACCCAGCATTTCCTCATGGTGTTACTGCAAAGGGTCCAGGTTTAAATGAGCGAGGAGTGGTTGGATGTAGAAGAGACCTCCAAAGAAACACAAGTATCAGGGCTAGAGAAAGAGGCAGGGGGTGGTCCTGATTCGGGAGCTGTGGGAGTTTCTGCTGGCAGACAGTGGAGCTGGGTTTTAACTGCAGGCTGGTTTTGTGGGGGGGGGGCTGCTGGAGGGTGATGAAGTGTTCAGGAGCAACTGGGGGGATACAGAATCCAGGACAAAAACAATAGTGAGCAAAACTTCAGAAAGAGGGACATAGAAATGGTCAAAATGGGCTGATTTTGCCCTTTATTATACAGTATAAAGTTTGGAATATCCAGGCAGAAGTGAGGGAAAGGACAAATCTTGATGTGGTAACTGCAGGGAGAAGATTGAACAATTCTGTAGTTACGCTTTTCCTATTTTTTTTTATTTCTTTATGTGCTGTGTTTAGCTGTTAGATTAAACTGATGGATTCTCTGGGTTTGGATTTTTTTTGAGATAATCAGTTAAAGCAGCAACTCTTTCAGCACATTTTGTATTAAAAAGGTATTTCTGTTTTACCAATGAAAGACAGACTAACATCATCTGCGTTCAGTTTCATATAAAAATATTTGTCCATTTTCCATCATCTTAGTTTGAAATCCTGTAAGTGAGATGAACGATGGGCATATGTCCTCAACTGCTTGGGTCCTTTTGATGCTGAAACCTTAGACAAATATTTTCACTACAACTTGTGCCTTGCCTTTCTCTGCCCTTGGACTAAGATAAGCCTTACATCAGTTTGATTTTTAGCTCCACTTAGCTTTCTACTATTCTGTACCTGATATGACTGGGAGAGAACAGAGAGTAGCTTGGGTGCCTTCATGCCAGCATGGGCTGGCTCATGTTGTGCCAGTATGGGAAGGAGAGGCAGAATTCTGCCTTTTTTATGGAACTGTGATGGCACTGAGGATACAACATCCTTTCTTCACACCACGGTAACTTTTGCTACTAAGTGTGTGTAGCCTCTAACAAATCATTTTCTCTTTTTTCTTTTCAGAATGAAATAAATGAGGTTCCTTTCTTTGATGTCCAGCTGCCTTACGAACTGGCACTGAAGATATTTCAGTACCTGGGCAAGGCTGAGTTGGGAAGGTGTGCTCAGGTAAGTGCTGCTGACAGTTTGCTTCTCTGACAGCACGTAAAATTGAGAGAAGTATTCAAGAGACAGTTGTGCACCTTGATGCAGGGAAGATGAGTGGTAGCCCTGCTAGCTCAGCTGATTGTGCTTTGACTTACAAAGCTGAATATTGAAAAAAATAATAGTGAATGAGCTGGATTAATAGTTTGCAGTTGAGTAGGGTTAAAACATTTCTTGTTTGTGGCTTTAAATGCTTGCAAAGATCTTTTGAGGCAAGTGAGTGTGTTCAGAAGCAAGGGAGTGTCTTGCTGCAGTATTCAGAACTGGGCACTTTGCAGTGCTAAGAGCATGGCAGGAGAGCTGGTCCTCCCACTTCTCAGCGTGTGACTTGAACCATAGAAATTGGGGTAGTAACCTTTTTTTCTGTAGTCATTTAATGTGAGGCTAAATTCTTAAATGACACTGATTTCCTCTGCTCCCACCCCACAGGGGGTTTCTGTCTTCCTGCGACGATACTTTAGGGTAATGCTTTCACCAGCCTCTACTCAGACAGTGTCCATCCTTTAAGTGTGGTTGTAAACTGCCTGGCTCTTCAAGTAGCTTTCCCAGCTGGAACATTCACACACACCTGACCGTGCTGGGGATTGTTCAGCCCTCACTGTGGAGCCTCTTCATCTGCTTTTTTTCATGCACTGAGTGAAGAACCTCCTCCCTGAATGAGTCTTCAAAGCAAATTTAATTGGTATGTGCTGATTACCCTGTGAAACAGAGTAAAATATTGTGGCTGTTTGTTGCCAGCTTCTCCCATGGCCATGATTTGGTGTTTCAGGCTGGTGTTCGTTGAACACCTCTGTACAAAGCAAGTCCTGCAACTTCACAGAACTCCAGCCAAACCCATTCTTTGCCCTGGACTGTTTGTGAGAGAAGGAAACATTTCACGTGTGAAGACTGAGAGGTGACAGGCAGGACACAGCTTTGTTGTGGGTGGTAAACCAGACACAGGTATTATCCAGATGGCACATGTGTTGAAATGAACTGGGGCTTTTAACACTACAACCTGCTGAAGCTGAACATTAAATAGCTACAGATGGCTGTTGCTTAAATCTTTGACTTGCTAAAGCCTTTTAGGAAAAAGGACTGTTGTAAGAAAAAGAATTCCTCTAGCAGGTCTTCTATTGCAGAGGAGAAAATTCCTTGGAGATATTTTTTGGTGCTGTCCACAAAGACTGTAGGTCTTTCAGATACGCTCAAGTTTCTGTCACTTGAGGTAGAGCTGTGATCAGTAAAGGCCACATCCAATGGAATAGAGCAGAGTTGCATTTTTGAAGTGGATTACTTTAAGGTGATTCTTTCTCTCTCTTAGTTTATTTCTTTTTCCCCCCTTAGGCATTTACCACATAGCAAAAAGATTGCCTGTTGAAGGGCTGTACCTTTTCTCTCTGGTTGAGCTGCACTCGATTTCCCACACACTTTGTTTTTTAACTTGAAGCTGTCCTCATAAGAGGTGTTCTAACACTGGGAAAATTTTCCCCATTTCTCCTTCATGTTCTCAGGCTGAGTCAGTTGGTGTGATGTGGCAGCTGACGGGTAGCTGAGCAAACACCTTGTGTTCTACAAGGCTTTCCAAAGGAGACAAATATCTGATGCTTTCAGTGTGGAGCTGGCTGCTTTGTGAGCCTTCAAATAAAAAGCAGAGCAATAAAAATAAATACCATTTTCATTTTTCTCTTGGTGGTTTTGTTTTTGAAGGGGAGGAAGCCCTCATCTGTGAAATAGAAAGCCCTGCTGCTTTATGGTGTTATCACAGAAAGATTTTTTTTTTATTAAGGCGCCGTGGGATTTTAGGGAAATTGGGCCAGTTAGTGGAGTTGGCATCAGGAACTCTGTGAGTGCCTTTGGAGAAAACCTGCTTGCTTAGTTCTTTAAGCCAAACTGGTCAATGACTAACAGTAAAGTAGCCTGACTACAGAGCTTCTTTGAGATTTAATCATATCACAGACAGCTTTGGAGAACTTTAATTTCACCCTGATATTTCCCCCTTCCCTATTCCCTGCAGCTTTTCTTTGATAAAACATAAACTATCTGTCTGGCACTTGAAATCCAAACACCATAAGCTGCATGTAAAATTAATGGTGTCATCAGTACCTGAGCTCTGGTGGGTTCATGGTAGTGGTGCAATACTCAGTAGCATCCAGGCCAGTCCCTGTTGAAATCCCATGGTTATGATTCAAGGACAAGGATATCCAGGATTTAATACATCATCAGAACAATCCAGAGGAATGGCAGAATTTCCCTTCTGCTTTGTGCCAGCCCTGTGAGCACCTTTTGGTTCTGTTCTGACTATTGAAAGAAGAGTCTGTGCTATGAGCAACTCCTGTGATGTCTGTGATGAGCAGGTTTGAGAACAGTCAGTGCTGAAGGTACTGAATTTGGGCAGTGCTAAGGCAGTCTCATTTCTGATTTCAGTTGGAAATTGCCTTGAACTGTTGGTGTTTTCATCCAGAGATGGGTTAGAAGTGTTTACCAACAGTGCAATTGTGTATGTATGTAGGACAAGGGAGATGGTTTCTAGGAATTTAAGAATGGTCTTGCATAAATCAACAATTTCAGATGCTTGCCTCTAGAGCTTCTGGAATTGTCAAACTGTTCAGCTTTTATATGTTAAAGAAGATCTCACTGGTTTTTTTGAGCATACTTTTGCATCAAGGTTGTGTATGGGTAAAAGCAATCACCCATCCCCCTCATAGTTTAGAGAGAGCAGAGAAACGGGTGGGTAAGGACATTCTGGGCACAGGATGAGACTTAAAATAACATTATGGCTGTGAATTGAGAAGATGAGCAGCTTCCACCTGGTGTGGCTTCCATCTGAATGGCTTTGGATTAAAGAGTGCTTGGCGCTGCATATTGTACTGAGTGGAAAGTCCAGAGATTCCTCATTGAGGCCCCTGGCTTCAGCTGAACCTTGACTATGTCTTTGTGTGTCTAGGGAAGAAAATAAACCTAATGAAACAAAGACAGTTATCAGATGGAGAGGGTTGAATAAACCTTCATTAGGATTTGAGCCAGTTGATTTACATTGGATTAGAAGAAATTTAGGATTTGATGGAAGAGGTGGGTTTCTTTTTTATTTTTTTTTTTTTGGTGAGGGGGGTAAGAATACCCCAAGGGCAAACCCAAATAGCAAAACCTATGTCAGTGAAAGCTTTTGAAGTCCTTCAGAACGTTGTTACTTGCTGAACTATAAGATATAAAACTGTTCTGCATGGAGCTAGGGGGAAGCCAAAGTTTCTTTACTGAGAACAGTTGAGAACTGTAGTAAAAAGATAATAGGGACACTAAAGACAAAATTGAACTGAGGACTATAAATCCATGAACAGCTCCATAAGATGTTGTCATTGATCGTTGTTGGAGTTTCCACATAGTGTAGATTTGGAAATAATTATGTTCATAGTTTAATCAGAGCTTTGCATGTCTCCACCACTCTCCAGCACGTGGAATGTATGGGTGCATATAAATAAAGCCATAACGCTCTGGCTTTTGGGGCCTCACCTGAAACTCTAAGTCAAGCAGATCTAATAAAGCTGACTTCAAGCCAATGGCTGGTTTTAATGCAGCAGCTCACAGTGGGGCTGTAAAGTAAAATGCTTGAGACTCTTTTATTAGAGATTTCTTGCAGCTGAGGCTTGCTCAGTGGGGCTTTTACAAGGGATTGTCATGCCAGTTTTGGTGCATTAAGAAAAGGCTGCGTTAGGGACCCTTTGGAAATTCATGCTTGTAAAGCAGCAGGATTCAATGTAATTTGATTTAAAAATATCATAATAGGATAGGATCTTGATTCTCTTTGAATGTTTGTTCCTGAAAGTTGAAAAGGCAGTCTAAATTTTATGTAGTCCCCTCCTTTCTTTTTTTTTTTTTTATTGTCTTTATAAAATGCTTTTAAGACCTTGAAACTAGAAAGGTCTGTACAATATTGTCTATTTTGGCAGACTCTAGAGGTGTGTGTTTTTCTTTGCCTTGCTTTTAAGAAAATAAAAAAAGAAAAGTTGGGGTGGTTTGGCTTCGTTTTCTCCTCCTTGTGCATTCCCGTGTCCCCTCCGTGTCAGCAGAAACGTGCTGCTCTTCCAGGGGGGAGGCAGAGGTGCTGTTACTGTCAACCCATCTTGGCCAGGGTGCTCAACTCCTGCAGAACAGCTGCTTTTTTTGTGTGTCAGCAAAAAGCCAGTGGCTTTAGGTTTGGTTTTGGTTTTTTTTTTTTTTTTTCCTTTGAGCAACAATATATGCATTTGTCTTACTTTCAGATCAAACTGAGAGCAAATTCCCCACTAAACTGTGATGACTTGAAATTTGGATTGCCTTTTTTTTATTTTGTCCTTTTGAACTTCTGTGTCCCTATCTGGACAGAAGTGTGAGGTGCTGCTTTTTTTTGTATCGGGGTGATGTCTTAGTGCTGTTTCTGTCATTTCTAAGGCATTGTGATTGTCCTATCCAGGTGGTTTTCTTTGTCTGGTGATGGAAGGGGATTGTATGCCTGGTAGTTGGAATTGAGGTCTTCTAATGAATACCTGGAATATTAGCTCTGCTGGACTTAGATATTCCTGTTTAAGAGCTGCTCTCATGTATAGCTATCAAGTCTTAAAAGCTATGTGCAAGTTAGTCCACCTCCCTTTTTTCTCTCATATTAAACTATCCTTTTTTTTTTCCCCTCGTAAGAAGCAGATCATGAGAGATGTCTTAAGGTGAACTTCCTGATTAATACAATCATAGCATGGTTTGGGTTGGAAGGGACCATAAAGTTCATCTAGTTCCAGCCCCCCATGCCACAGACAGGGATGTCTTCCACTGGACCAGGTTGCTCAAAGCCCCACCCAACCTGGTTTTGAACACCATCAGTGGTGGAGCATCCATAACTTCCCTGGGCAACCCGTGCCAGTGTCTCACCCCCCTCAGTGTGAAGAACTTCCTCCTGCTGGGATGATGTTTTTTGAGACCAGTAATGATAGGTGTGAGTCTTTGCCATGAGATCAACAGGCAATGCAACATAAATAAGAAGCCAGAAGCTTCCTGAAGGGGAGATCTGTGCTGCTCATGGCAGAGCACGCTGCCCTGCACTTTGGGGACCATACAGTACACAAGGAGGTTCAGGACCATGTGTGTAAGATGCTTTTGCACTTACTGCAACCCAAGGAGTGCTGTAAGACACAGAGTCACGTTGATGGGTGCTTCCTGGGCCTGAGCTGCTACCTCCCTGTGGTGCTGGGGGTGCCCTGACTGGACAGCCTTGGCAGATCAAGGGGCATTCCTCCAAGTCATCACCTGTGAAATTTCACAGGTCACCTTACAGACTGTGAGGTTGATTTAAGGTGGAGGGTGTTGTTTTCCTGAGCTCTCTGTAAGCCTCACCACACTCTGTGCTGCTGCAGTGGCTTGTGTTCTGCTTGGACACCTTGCAAATCTGCAGCAACCAAAAGGATCTTGTCCTCTCAGTGTGCCTCATGATAGATCATTTTGTGAAGCTGTCCTTTGTCTTTGAAAGCTGTGGGTTTAAGAAGTCTGAAGCAAAGTGTGCATGGTAATGATAAAATACAAAGGAGATTGATCCTATCCAATGGAGAACAAGTAATTGTTCATCTTTCACCTCCCTGGGCCGTGTTGGATCAGTGTGTCAAGGGGGAATGACCACCAAGGGAACACAGAGATGGTCCTGTGGGAGTTCTGTCAGTGGGAGACCAAGATTCTTAGTGTGATTTGGGGTTTGAAATGGACATTAGATGCTTAATTGTAAGTTGCTAGAAATGATCTCAGTCTGACGAGGTTTTTTTTTTTTTTTAATCTTTTAGGAAACAGTATACAATTGATTGCTGCTTTCACTTGTAGCAGCTTTCATTGGTTACATCTGGTTTTTTAAATTAAGAATTACCGAGAACAAATGCTACTTAAGTTGGCTCTTACCTCTTGAATCTTTAATTCTGAGCCCACAATTGATTATGATGAAGCTGTTCTCTCTGAAATGGACAGCAACTTGAGGCTACTTGAAAAACTTAATAATTCATTCCTATTTATGCATACTGTAATACAATAGGTTATAAATGACTAATGCCATATACCTAATCAGGCATTGTCAGTAGGACTTCAGGGATAACAGTGCTGTGATCTAAGAGCTTTCCTTAGCTACAAATATGAAAATAAGTTCATATTTTTGTTCTAAACTTACAATGCTGTCTTAATTGTTTTCTTTCTTCCTTTCCCTTCGAAATTTACTAATACACTGATATTTCAGGTTGGCAGCATGGCCACTAAACACCAGTGTCTGCGTTGTATGAAGTTCTAGTGGAGTAGAAACTCAGTTATTTTCAAAAGAATCCACAGAAAAACAAATTATTTTGTTAAAAGTTTTGGGGGTTTTATACTCTCAGTAGTATAATGGCTGAACAAATGTATTTCTTTAGATAAGATTTAGTCTCATGCAGGCCTGTGTTGATTTATCTACATTTGTTTCAGATGTTATTTAAATCATTTTATATGAAATCTCTTTTTTACTTTCAGTGTTATGCTATATATATAAATATACATCTAAACTTTTGATTTCTAGGTCAGCAGGACGTGGAAAGTGCTTGCAGAAGATGAAGTGTTGTGGTACAGGTTGTGCCAACAGGAAGGATACCTGTTGGATACGAGCATCTCTGATGGTTCCTGTTGGAAGCTCGCCCTCAAGGACTGCCGTGCCAGAGAGCGCACTTTGAAAACCAACTGGAAGGTAAAAGGGGATCTCTCTGATGGGATCCAGATGGTGTAGAAAAAATGGGTTCAAGCAAGTGACAGCGAAAAGTTGGGGTTTTGTATTGCAGCATCTTTTTGCCAGTTGAAAGGGGAAAGGTGCTGAAGGATTTACGAGACTTAGCCTGAGCTGTAATCCCTTTTTTCCCCCCCTAATCGTTTTGGGAGTGAGTCTTTCTGTTTGCTGTGCTGCTCCGTAGACTTTGCTGAAAGAGAGATGTTTATACTTCAACCATCCCTTGAGAATGAGAATCAGCCTTTAAGATTATTCTCCTTCCCCTGCTCATCACATATCCTGGCTAAAAGCAAGCTAGAATTTCGTTGTTGTTGTGATAGTTGTTTAAAGATTCTGAATGATAATGAAGAGCGATGACTTCTCCCTCCTTCATTTCCATACGTAAAAATTCAGGGCAGCAGGTATAAAATAGATGTGCCTTCTCCCTCTGCAAGCCACCAGTGGCAGCAGCAGCAAAGCTCCATGGAGCAGCAGATGGCCTGGGTGGATGAGAGTCCTGCCGTGCTAACCCCGTGTCTCGTGTTCCCGCGCAGAACCGCGTCGGTGCCGTCAGCCAGCTGCAGTACGAGCTGGGAAAAGTCCTCTGTGCTGTGCACTCCTGGGATGGAGTTGTCGTTGCTGGGTGAGTGTGAGGTTCTGTAATGCTCACTTGGTCTCCGCTGTTTGACATCTCATGTGTTGCTTTTTGACAAATTCTAAAGAAGGGCCCGTTTGAGGCAGCCAGAATGAAACTTGCTGACTGCAGGTCCTTTGTGGGTGAGGTAGGTTGATCTTAAAGTGACTGACAGTGATGGTTATCTACACATCATTTCAGCAGGGCAGGTTTTTATTCTACTGTTCAAAAAGCTGTCTCATCTGCCTGTAGTCCCTGGAAAGACCATGGGACTTTCTGATGAACTGTATCTATTGTTTTGCTGTGGAAGTGCTTAGAATATGTTCAGTATTTTACACATCGACTAAAAAGTCTCTTTTTTTTTTTTCATAAAAATTTCTTCAGCACAAGTTTATTTTTGTGTGCTGTGGCCAGGTAACTTTAGAAGGACTGTTACTTTTCTTCATTTTTATTTAAAAGAGAGTATAGGGGTGGAGGGCAGAAAGAAAATGTCAAAGGAGGCCAGAAGGATGATGTAAGGGCTGGAGTGTTGGGGTTGTTGAGCCTGGAGAAGAGAATGC